ATATATTTTATCCTTCTTGAAAAGCTAGGGATCGGATAAAAGTTATTGTTACCGATTGCTTATTCTTCTTTTTTTTCAATATATGTGAAACTGATTTATTTCTACATTCATGTGAGAAACAATAATGAAAAAAAAAAATTTTTTAAATTATCGGTTTTTCTTTTGACAATAAAATATTTGTCATAAATTATTTACACTTTATTTTAAAAAACTAAAAATTTTTGAAAACTATTTAAATTTATATACTATTCGTCTGATTCATATTCTTTATCAAAAAGATTTTTTTTTTTACACTTTTGAAACATGTCCTGAGTAGAGTGATAAATGTGTGAAGCACTGTAACGTGGTGCTTGCTTACATTATAGATATTGCATATGGGTCTCTATTTTATTTATAGATATTACGTGTCAGTGTAAATATTAGAAATTTTTTTATTTTTATGTAGCTATATAGAAAGAAAATAAGAATTATTAAAAGAAAAAATGTACAATAGACAAAATTTGTTTATATAAATTAAAGAGATATTGGAAAAATATTTTTATGTCTCTAGCTTATTTATTAAATTTTTTTTTATAAATTTATATTTATTTAAAAAAATATATAAGAGTAAGAATTTCTGAAACGTGCCACCTGAACCTGAAAAAATTTATTTTTTGTTAAAATGTTATTTTTCTTATAGTATTTTATATGCACAATCACCCCCTAAAACGATTTTGCAAAAAAAAAAATTTTTGTTGTTATGAACAATTTAATATTTTTGACCCTTTTTTTATCACCCCCAATATAGTGTTAAAGTTTATGCAGACTTTAGTATATTTGACTTTAGAAATATGCAACCCAATTTACAGAGAAGTTTGAAAAAAACATTGAAGAGGAGTCATTTTTAAATTTTGCCGCTTGAAATTGGATGCGCGCGATGATTTAAGTCATCACGTGATAGCAGAAAAGGCATGTTGGAAACCATTTTGGTTATACGAAATCAAAACATAACCCCAAATAATCATCGTATTTGACATTATTAATAAAAAAACAAATAGAAATAAAAAATAAATAGTCATTAAAAGATTATAATAATGATAAGGAAAGACGTCGTTTATTTTTTATAGAAATTTTTCTATCAACCTCTCAAAATTTTTTGACGGATTATTCATTGTTGCGATAATCGTGGTAAATAGAAAAATAATTAAAAATAAATAATAATAATAATAATAATAATAATAATAATAAACATAATATTTCTCTTCCACATCACACTATGTAGATAAAATTGCCAAACACTTTTTCACTAAATTTTTATTTTAACTTTTTTATCATTATTATAATCTTTTAATGACTATTTATTTTTTATTTCTATTTGTTTTTTATTAATAATGTCAAATACGATGATTATTTGAGGTTATGTTTTGATTTCGTATAACCAAAATGGTTTCCAACATGCCTTTTCTGCTATCACGTGATGACTTAAATCATCGCGCGCATCCAATTTCAAGCGGCAAATTTAAAAATGACTTCTCTTCAATGTTTTTTTCAAACTTCTCTGTAAATAGGGTTGCATATTTCTAAAGTAAAATATACTAAAGTCTGCATAAACTTTAACACTATATTGGGGGTGATTCATAGTCAAATAATCTAACTGTATATATATATATATATAGTTTATTTTCTATATATTTTCTTATATAGTTTAAACGTGAGTACTGAAAATAATTAATATATTACTGAATGAGCGTAATTCTATTGTTTTATGAAGTTTCATCATAACAATATTATCTTCTTCTTTTTTTAATAATAAAGTTGTCCATTACAAAAGGTATAAAAGCGACTATGTCAGTAATTCAAGATGTCACAGTTTGATACATGCCCTTAACACAAAGCTTCTTGATGAAAGGCGATTCATGAGGTGATAAAACAACTCTAAGACCAGGATGCTGGAAATGTTAGGAATCCGTTTACGGGGCTAGAGTTGGCTGATAATAGAGGTATATAAGGTAGGAGAAAAAGAGCAAATACATGAAGTATGAGTGTATGTTATAGGCTATTGCTCACATAATATCAGACGATACGTTATAAAAAGAAAAGAGTGGAATAGAGAATGATATAGAGAAGAAAAGAAGGATGAGAGAGAAAGAGAGGGACAGAAAGAGAGAGTATAAGTAAATTTACAAAGTAACTCGAGAAAAATATTTTCTTTAAAATTTCTCTTCAACTTTATTTTTTTTTTGTCATATTTTTTAATAGAAATTCAAAAATTGTTTTTCTATTAAAAAAAACTCTGCGTATGTAATATAATTTTCCAGTCAGTAATTTTTTTAATTACATTTAAAAATAAAAATTCTTTTATACATTAAAAATAGAAACGCAAAGATTATGTTTTGCATTTTTTGAAAGATATTTAAAATAACTAGGTTATAATAATGAAGAACAATTTTTTTAACAAATTTCCGCACTAATTAAATTGTTTTATATTGAGAGGAAAATCACAGGTGAACTGTTTCCTGGCATGTATTCATAGTACGCGTAGAGAATTTGCGCTCGTTTTATGATACTCGTAAATTATACAAGGTACCTTGTTATATGGACAATTGGCATACGCATTAAAAATTTCCATAAAAAAAAAGTTTTTTTTTTAAATATATATGAAAGAACTTATTTACATGTTAAAATAAATGTTGTTAATTAATTTCAATGTTTAATATAATATTTTTGAGGGAATATTTTTTATACCACACACAGTGTGGTTATCGAATTTTTCCTTTGTTTCTGTATATAAAAAAAAATTTGTATTCAAAATTTATATTTTGAATTTAATAAAACAATAACCGAAAAAAAGAGGTAGAGTCAACCATTTGACATCATGCAGGAAATGTATTTGGGCTTTGATAATGTAAAATAATAAAAAATAAAAAATATTTATTCAACAATGCCAAGGACTTATATTTCCAGTTTTTTCTTGCCCATACCTAATTTTTTATTTACATTTTATCCTAGCCATTTACTTAATCTCTTCTTGCAAATTCTTACAATGATTACATTTCATGACTTTCCCGCTCTTTCCAAAATTTTTTTTTTAAATTTTACCGCCTTAGCCACAATCCAACTTCTACTTTCTTTCGCAATCGGCATTTTAGAATTTCTACTTTATCAACATTCACTTACCTTTTCTTGTTCACTCAACCTAACCTAAAATGCTCATCTTACTTTTTTCTTCTTCTTACTATTAACATCCTCACTCTTTTTCACATACACTTCCATCATTCACTTTTCCTTCTCTCCCCAAACAACTATACTAACGATTCTTCAATATTATTGCCTAAAATTTTGCCCAAAAACACGTGCACAACACAATATAGTAGGGAAATAGTGTCAGGGTTGGACACTAGGCTTTTTTTTAAATAAGAACACTAGCGCCACCTGTGTGCGTACGTGACGAATCTTCTAGCAGTGTAACCTAACTTTTTGTGGCATTACATTTTTGGAGAATCAAAAGTAGCGTCTCCTGTGACTTCGGTGCAATCGAAGAGACAAAAAAGTTTTGTTTGACTTGTGAATAAACCTAAAAAATGTGTAAAAAAAGCAAGAATTCGGCAAGGTAAGCTTATTGAATGTATTGTGGGGTACATAATTTAAGAAGAAAAAAAATGAAAAATCGAATCGCGACACATGTCTGGTTATGGTTAGCACAATTCGAAAATGATGCTTCTAGTTAGGGTTGGACACCCATATTAATTATGAATTTGACACAATTTATAAACAAATTTTATTTTATTGATATTTCAGTGCAAAATTGTGCCAAAGATATTAGAAAAATAATACTTAAATTGTATAAATTTTGTTTATCATTTCATTGAGTTATTTGGAACAATAAAGCGTTATTTTTTGTAATTTGAGTTCATTCCTTTTTTAAACCCATGAAGCTTTACAATTTGTAAACAATAAGTAAAGATAAACATGAAAAAATAAGAATAAAAAACATTACAAATGTTATTTTACGTTTTTACCAATAATGCGTTTCGATTTTCAAAAAGTGTCCAACCCTGGCTAGATTTTTTTTTTAAATGTTTATAACTTTTTTAATTTTGGACCAATCAATTTACGGTCTACAGCAAAAGTGTTCCTCTTTTGTAGATCTTTCCACCCATATACCACAATTGACTGAATTTATCTAAACAAAATATTTATAAACAAAAAACCAAAACTGTGTCCAACCCTGACACTATTCCCCTACCAGAAACGCGAGACGGAAAATTATCACAAACTGAAAATAAAGTTTTAGCAATTAAGTAAATATTTTTATAATTTTCAAAAAGAATTCTAGAATTTTTTAATCTTAAAAAAAAATTCTTGGGTGAATTTCTGAGCTAATTTAATTATACTTAACGAATGAAAATAAAAAATCGTTATTGTATGATGTTCATGGTAAATAGAAAATTTAATTATAAATATGACGCGCTTTGAAAGAAAGGGACCTTAGAAGTAGAAAAATATAGGTTATGTTTTGAAATTTTAAATTGTAAATAAAAAAAACAGTTAAACTTTTAATATAGAAATAATTGATATTTAAGTCTTTATTACATCCAAAATATTTAATAAAAACTGATTTTAATTTTACAAAAGTAAAAAGAAACTTTTAATCAAGGTAAAATTACCGTAAACATAACCTATAATTCGTTTTCTTCTAAGGTCCCTTTCTTCAGAGCACGTCACAAATAAAAAAAACACTACTAATATAAAGCATCTCAAGAATATTTAAATTGAGAATAGTGATGCTTGTGTACTAAATTCTCGACAATTATTTTCATTTCACAGTACAGGCTTTTAAGATTAATTTTATAGCACTAGCTGTATTGATCTGAGAACAATTAAAATTTCACTTCAAGTAAACAATTTTATTATTATTATTATTATTATAATTCATTAATGTATTTATTTAATCAATATTTATTTTTATTAGTTTAATTCATCGGATTATTATAATTAGAGGTGTGTTATATTTGTTTCAGCCAGGAGCTGAATCATTGATTGAATCAGAGCACATCATTATCATTCTCGTTGTTTTCTCATTAATTGTTTTTGGCCTTTGCTTCACTTTCGTATTCAATTGCATCCGAAAACTTGTTCGAGATCATCGTATAATAAGGGTGAGTTAAACATGATACCTATATATATATATATTAATTATATAAATGAATATAATTTTTAAAATAACTATTGATAAGGAAGATTAAAATATCATTTTAATGAATGAATTCTTTATATTTCAATTTTTGTTTAAAATTATTATTCACACGAGACTACTGCAATTTGAGGAAGAATAATTTTAATATTGAAATTTATTATTTCAATTAAAATTTATTATTACAATATCAATAATTCAAATTCAAATAAAGACTGTAAAATTGTTTTTCATTCGATTCTACTCCAATTTGAGACTGATTTATATATTTTTATATCGTTATTGAAATATAATTATAATTAAAATTAAATTGGCGGAAACACGCTCGGTTAAAATTGTACTTATTGTTGTTTACTTATTGTAGTTTATGTATATTATATATATAATTTATGATTTAAATTAATATCTTATTAATATTGTATAAAATTTATCTTAATTTTGATCAGTTTCATTGAAGGATGAAATGACAATTGTTAAATATTAGATTTTTTTTATTATAATTATGAAAACAATATTAATTATATTATATTATAATATTTTTTTTTATCTTAAATTATATTATATTATATTGATGTAAATTGTCCCACAAACACATGTAGATTTTGCAAATTTTTGAGAAAAATATTCGTAATAAATCGAAATACTTTTTAAAATATCGGTTTTTATTTTTATTATCTATAGTAAACCGTTATAAAGAGATTCTTCTTTGATTTTACATATATTACTAGTTCTCCGGAATAATGATGTATTTGAATTAAATAATGATGTTGTTAAACGAATGACAGGTGAACCTAGAGAATATTTAAGTATAGATTCATCTGAAGAAGATGAAAAGTGTGACACAATAACTAACTTAATACCAATTGAAGTATTAAATATTTTAACTCCAAATGGACTTCCTCCTCACAAATTAATATTAAAGATTGGTGCAATTGTGATACTTTTAAGGAATATTAATTTAGAAAGAGGTCTTTGTAATGGAACAAGACTAAAAGTTATTAAAATGGGTAGTTTTTCTATTCATGCACAAGTAATAACGGGAAATTATAAAAATGAGATTGTAATTTTGCCACGAATTACATTGTCACCGTCTAACGAAGAAATACCATTTCAAATGTCAAGAAAGCAATTTCCAATAAGGCTTGGATTTGCTTTAACAATCAACAAATCTCAAGGCCAATCTTTCCAAAAAGTAGGGATATACCTTCCTTCACATGTTTTTAGTCCGTGACAATTATATGTTGCATTATCAAGAGTAACTTCAAAATATAATCTTAAAGTATTATTATATAAAAATTCAAGTATTACACTTAGCGAAAAAGGAATAAAAAAAAGATAGGCAATGAAAAAGAAATTTATGTAAGAAACATTGTTTACCAAGAAATAATACAATAATATTTAACACATGTTTTAAAAAAATTCGACTACGAAGAAATCTACTAACTCTACTTTATAAATAAATTAATTCATTGAATTGGAAATGGCTGCGCTGAACTGTAACGGCAGCGCCATAAAAGAATATTATAATTATTATTATACTGATCATATCGCATGGAAAGGATTAAAAAACCATTTAAAAGAAAAAAATATATAAAATATAATCAAGTAATAACAAAAACTGTAAACTGGCTGCGCTGAGTAGTAACGGCTGCGTAACATAACGAAAATAATATAATAAATTATAATAATTTATTAATAACATCACTCATATGAAAATGAATTATAAAAAATTAATTTAAAAATTAATAAGAAATAAAACAACTTACGATAATTGCAGAATGGATGCGATGAATAAGTTAAAACATATTATAACTTTACATTATTGTAAATGAAAATTAAGTATTAAAAATAAAAAAAATCAATATTTTTCTAAGTCCCTAATTTTTTTGGACTTATAAAAAAAAATAGTTTGTAAGATTTTCTAACAGCATATATGCAAAGTATTTTGATTTATTTGAAAATAATTGAAAATAGATTTTTCAAGGACGGTGTCGAGGTCACAGGGTCGGTGTCGTTTTTCGAAATTTGTTAACTTAATATAATAGAAGATGTTTCGTTTTAAATTAAGAAATGTTAAAATTATTAAGTTAAAAACATTTGATTTTAATGACACTTAAAATTAGACACAATATTATAGGTTACTAACTAAAAATTGAAAAAACAACAATAAATAATAAAAAATAATAATAAAAAATTGAAAAAATCAAAAAATTCTTAAAAAATTGCAAAATAACCCTTTTTCGGGTTAAAATTGAAAAAAGATGTTACATAAAAATAGTTTGTAAGATTTTCTAACAGCATATATGCAAAGTATTTTGATTTATTTGAAAATAATTGAAAATAGATTTTTCAAGGACGGTGTCGAGGTCACGGGGTCGGTGTCGTTTTTCGAAATTTGTTAACTTAATATAATAGAAGATGTTTCGTTTTAAATTAAGAAATGTTAAAATTATTAAGCTAAAAACATTTGATTTTAATGACACTTAAAATTAGACACAATATTATAGGTTACTAACTAAAAATTGAAAAAACAACAATAAATAATAAAAAATAATAATAAAAAATTGAAAAAATCAAAAAATTCTAAAAAAATTGCAAAATAACCCTTTTTCGGGTTAAAATTGAAAAATAACCCTTTTTCGGGTTAAAATTGAAAAAAGATGTTACATAAAAAAAGTTTGTAAGATTTTCTAACAGCATATATGCAAAGTATTTTGATTTATTTGAAAATAATTGAAAATAGATTTTTCAAGGACGGTGTCGAGGTCACGGGGTCGGTGTCGTTTTTCGAAATTTGTTAACTTAATATAATAGAAGATGTTTCGTTTTAAATTAAGAAATGTTAAAATTATTAAGTTAAAAACATTTGATTTTAATGACACTTAAAATTAGACACAATATTATAGGTTACTAACTAAAAATTGAAAAAACAACAATAAATAATAAAAAATAATAATAAAAAATTGAAAAAATCAAAAAATTCTTAAAAAATTGCAAAATAACCCTTTTTCGGGTTAAAATTGAAAAAAGATGTTACATAAAAATAGTTTGTAAGATTTTCTAACAGCATATATGCAAAGTATTTTGATTTATTTGAAAATAATTGAAAATAGATTTTTCAAGGACGGTGTCGAGGTCACGGGGTCGGTGTCGTTTTTCGAAATTTGTTAACTTAATATAATAGAAGATGTTTCGTTTTAAATTAAGAAATGTTAAAATTATTAAGCTAAAAACATTTGATTTTAATGACACTTAAAATTAGACACAATATTAAAGGTTACTAACTAAAAATTAAAAAAACAACAATAAATAATAAAAAATAATAATAAAAAATTGAAAAAATCAAAAAATTCCTTAAAATTTGCAAAATAACCCTTTTTCGGGTTAAAATTGAAAAAAGATGTTACATAAAAATAGTTTGTAAGATTTTCTAACAGCATATATGCAAAGTATTTTGATTTATTTGAAAATAATTGAAAATAGATTTTTCAAGGACGGTGTCGAGGTCACGGGGTCGGTGTCGTTTTTCGAAATTTGTTAACTTAATATAATAGAAGATGTTTCGTTTTAAATTAAGAAATGTTAAAATTATTAAGCTAAAAACATTTGATTTTAATGACACTTAAAATTAGACACAATATTAAAGGTTACTAACTAAAAATTAAAAAAACAACAATAAATAATAAAAAATAATAATAAAAAATTGAAAAAATCAAAAAATTCTTAAAAATTTGCAAAATAACCCTTTTTCGGGTTAAAATTGAAAAAAGATGTTACATAAAAATAGTTTGTAAGATTTTCTAACAGCATATATGCAAAGTATTTTGATTTATTTGAAAATAATTGAAAATAGATTTTTCAAGGACGGTGTCGAGGTCACGGGGTCGGTGTCGTTTTTCGAAATTTGTTAACTTAATATAATAGAAGATGTTTCGTTTTAAATTAAGAAATGTTAAAATTATTAAGCTAAAAACATTTGATTTTAATGACACTTAAAATTAGACACAATATTAAAGGTTACTAACTAAAAATTAAAAAAACAACAATAAATAATAAAAAATAATAATAAAAAATTGAAAAAATCAAAAAATTCTTAAAAATTTGCAAAATAACCCGTTTTCGGGTTAAAATTGAAAAATAACCCTTTTTCGGGTTAAAATTGAAAAAAGATGTTACATAAAAAAAGTTTGTAAGATTTTCTAACAGCATATATGCAAAGTATTTTGATTTATTTGAAAATTATTGAAAATAGATTTTTCAAGGACGGTGTCGAGGTCACGGGGTCGGTGTCGTTTTTCGAAATTTGTTAACTTAATATAATAGAAGATGTTTCGTTTTAAATTAAGAAATGTTAAAATTATTAAGCTAAAAACATTTGATTTTAATGACACTTAAAATTAGACACAATATTAAAGGTTACTAACTAAAAATTAAAAAAACAACAATAAATAATAAAAAATAATAATAAAAAATTGAAAAAATCAAAAAATTCTTAAAAAAATTCAAAATAACCCTTTTCGGGTTAAAATTGCAAAAAGATGTTACATAAAAATAGTTTGTAAGATTTTCTAACAGCATATATGCAAAGTATTTTGATTTATTTGAAAATAATTGAAAATAGATTTTTCAAGGACGGTGTCGAGGTCACGGGGTCGGTGTCGTTTTTCGAAATTTGTTAACTTAATATAATAGAAGATAAGATGTTTCGTTTTAAATTAAGAAATAGTAAAATTATTAAGTTAAAAACATTTAATTTAAATGACACTTAAAATTAGACACAATATTATAGGTTACTAACTAAAAATTAAAAAAACAACAATAAATAATAATAAATAATAATAAAAAATTGAAAAAATCGAAAAATTCATAAAAAATAGAAAAATAACCCTTTTTCGGGTTAAAATTGAAAATTAACCCTTTTTCGGGTTAAAATTGAAAAAAGATGTTACATAAAAATAGTTTGTA